GCTCGATCCCAGGATCCCGGGACCATGACCTGAGCCAAAGGCAGACGCTTCACCGACTGAGCCGGCCAGGCGCCTAAGTCTATGGCCTTTGAGTAAAGCAGATGGCTCTGCACACAGGAGGTGGGCTCATCCCATCAGCTGGAGGCCTGAACAGGGAGGCTGGCCTCCCCATGCACCCAGGAGCTCCAGCCGCGGCCAGCAGCCTTAGCCCTGACATAGCAAATCTTGCCCCAGTCCCCAGCCTGCAGCCCTACTCTGCAGATTTGGGACCTGCCAAGCCTCTGCAATTGCATGAGCCAATTCCTTAAAATAAATCTCTCTCTCTCTCTCAATATATGTACATATTTATTTATATATGCACACACATCCTGTGGGTTCTATTTCTCTGGAGAGCCCTGACTAATGCAACCTATAAATATTCATGTGCCATGTTTACCCTCACCAAAGACTTCCCGGTACAAAAAAAAAAAAAAAAAAGCCTTAATATCATGCTGCACACAAACACTTAATTTGTGGCTGTTGGTCGTTCTTCCTCAGTCAAACCAGAAGGCAGGGGTGATAAATTATTATCAACATCAGCAGCACCGACTTCCCGCCCCGATGTGGCGGAGCCCTGGGCGCTGGGTCCGCGCCGTGTGGTTAAACCGCGTGGTTAGCAATCCTGGCTTTAGAGCCCGGAGCCAGCCTTAAATCATGTCTGCACAGATACAAGGAGACGTTTTGTTCACTAATTCCTGACCATGAGATATTATTATATTAGAATTTTAAAAGAAAACCCACATACGCGGTAAAAACAAAATTCAAACGGTAACAAGTGGTACCGAATGAAAAAGTCTCCCAATGAGAGCAGCTCGGAAGACAAGGGGGGGGGCCAGGACACCTCCTTTTTCTTTTCTTTCTTTCTTTTTTTTTGGTTGGTCTCGGCCCCCAGTTCCTGACACAGGGATCTTGGAAACCCTCAAAATCTCCCTGGGGGGCACGAGTAGCTTTCCTTCAACTGAGGTCGCTCCTGGTGGGGACTGAGCCATGATTGGAAGCTTGGAGTTTGCAGCCCACCCCTTCCTCCACCCCCCATTCTCTCGAGAAAGTCTGAAAATAGACTCAGTGATCTGTCATGCGGACATGATGGAGCCCCCATCAAAATCCCAGTAGTATGGGGTTTGGGGCGCTCCTAGCTGGGTGACACATGACACACGCCCCCGTCCCCCAGGGCAGAAGATCCCATACATCTTCACTGGTGAGTCATCTGCATCCAACCTTTATGATATCCTTTAATAAAATGGTAAGTGTACATGTTTCTCTGAGCTGCTCTAACAGATTAATCGCACCTGAGGAAGGGGGCGGTGGGAACCTCCCATTCGCTATATCAGACAGCAGCTGTGGGTGACCTGGGGACCCACTCACTGGCGATGGGTTCTGGAGTGGGGGGCAGTCTGGTGGGACCGGGCCCTTAACCTGTGGGCTCTGACGGTGTCTCCAGACAGATCGTGTCAGATTCACCTCGATCCTGGGGAAATCCTGGAATCAGCCACTTCCCCAAGGAGCCCTCCTTCCTTTTTCATACAGAATGGCATTTATAAAAGGCAAGAGCCGGATGCTAGGAGTGTTCATTGTTAATGGGGTTATTATGGATTGAACTGTACCCCCCAAAAGATATGTTTAAATCCTAGGCCCCGATACCTCTGAATGTGACCTAATTTGGAGGTAGGGTCTTTGCAGATGTCATCAGTTACGATGCGGTCATGCGGGATCAGGGTGGGTCCTAATCCAACGATCCGTGTCCTTGTTAGAAGGCCAGGTGAACACCCCGCACGCACCAACGTACATCTACTCGTATTTCCGTAAGATCTGTATGTTTGGCAGACTGGGAGTCCACACTGACGCATTCGATTCCAATCCAACACCACAGAATTCTAATTCCCTCCCTTTCTGTGTTTGTAAATCCTTTCTCCAAAAGTGAAAATGCCAGCTCCCATTATCCACGATGCCATCCCACACTTGATCCCCCCACCCCCCGTATGTGACAGTCCACCCCCCCATCCTCCCTCGCCCTGCGTCTGCCAGCCCTGCTCGGACACCCGCCCGGCCGTCCGGCCAGCCCCTCGCCCCCAGCGCCGAGCCAGGCCGCCCCCGTCGGGGCCCCTTCTCAGCCCGCTGGGCTCCAACAGCAGCCCACGCGGGATCAGACTGCTTGTTTTCAAACTTTGCATAAATAGTGTACTGTGTATCTTCTCCTGCAATCTGCTTTTTCCACTTGACATTACGTGTGCGAGATTCCTACTGATGCGTTTCCCTTTAGGTCCTGCACCAGCGCCGCTGTATGGAGTTTCATACGCGAGCCCGCCTCCGTTTCCGGGCCTTGGTCGTTTGCAGGCTTCTGCTAGGACCTTCTCGTCCCGGTCGCCTGGCGCGCGCCCCGCAGGGGTGTTTCTAGAGCCCCTCTTTAGGGATGGAGTCGTCTCGTCCTAGAGCGTGGGCACCATCCCCTTCACTAGATAAAGCCAAAACGTTTCCCAAAGGGGCCTGCTGGTTCTCTCCTGGGACCCCACCAGCGGAGCGTGGGTGGAGGTTCTGCTGCTTCACCTCCTCGGCGACCCTGGGTCACTTGACCAAATTTTACGTGTGCCCGCCGACTGGTTTCACTGTCCGCTCGCTCAGGGCTGATGACTGGCATGGGCCGTCTAAGCCACTGTTCCCATCGCCTCCGAGGGAGGCGGCCCTCGCCGCAGGGCGGACCGCTAGTGGCCCACCCCGAATCCAACCTTCCTTCTTCCCCGGTTCCTGCACCGTAACAGAGGTTTAGGGCTGTAAGCACGGCGGCCAGCCCGGCCCTGCTTCCGAGTCTCCTGTGACTCAGGCCTTGGCAACGGAACATAAGCAATGCTGATGTGTGGCATTTCCAAGTATGGGTCTCAAGACGTCGGGCCTGGCTCTTCCCCCGTCTTGCCAGCCCAGAGTCCCGCGTGACCACGATCTGGCTTCTAAAGCCACACAAATAATGATGCTGATCTGCAGGGGGCCGAGCGGTGGGACCGAAGAGCCCGAGACCCTAGGGGACTGTGTGGAGCAGGACCACCGGCTGCTCTGGACGGTTGCCAGGGAAACACACTTCACCCCAGAACCAGTGCACCTCTGGGTTTCTTGGATGTGGAGTGTAGTCTTCACCCCAATATATTCCACCGCCAGAACCCCCACTCCCACCCCCAAGGGGCTGTGGGAATTCCTGGGGGGACCAAGTCCCACATGTCACCCTGTCCACACTAAGTGAAACCTGAAAGCCTGCACCCACCTCCTCCCTGTGTGGGCATTTCTGGAACTCGCAAATTCTTTCATTCTCCCCCCTTGGAATATTCCCAAGATGATTATGGAAGGAAAAAGGGGGGGCTGCTTGTCTGTGGCCTTTCTCCTCCTCCCCAGCCCTCCTTGCTTTTCATGTACACCATATTTTCAAAAAACTGACATTGTCTTTCTATAATCAGCTCACCAGATGGTTAAATCAACACTGTGCCCCCTTCTGATTTCGTTCTGGAGAGTTGGGCAACGCTCTCCAGACCGTCCTTCACATCATGAAAGATGGAGGGCATGTTGACGGACGGTGGCAGGTTGGGACCCAGGAGACGACAAGGTGGGACTCGGTGTAAATCTGGCCAATCACAGAGTTTGGTCAAATTGGTTTTATGCACCTGAGGTAAAAGAGAGCAAGGGCAACGTGCTCCTGGGTGGGCAGCGAGGCAGACGGCTTGGAGGGCGCCTCTCCGCCAGAGAGCGTAGCCCTGAGCGTGGGCCCCGAGGGCCAGAGCTGGTCCCGGGCGTTCATCTCCTCTCCTCTCCCTCCCCCGGGGGCTCGGAAGCTTCTCTGTGGCGGCAGCACGGGAGGCCCCGCGTTTGCGAATACGAACCATCGAGGTATGTGCTATCACGTCTGTGCTGGTGCTGACCAAGGAACCGGGGGGCAGAGAGCCGGGCCCCCGTCACAGAAGACACCCTGGGACGGCCAGGCCCTCCAGAGCCGAACCGGGCGCCCTCGCCGCCCGCGCTGGGCTCCGGGCTGCGGCGCGCGCGGGTCCCCGGGTGTCGTGTGTAGCTGGACCTCAGCAGCACTCCTGGCTCCCCGAGTTTGTGCGGGGACGCCGGTTCCTTCTTGTTCATTCTGGTGCGGAGGAGGACGGCGGGTTTTGTAACGATGGCTTTCTTTCTTTTCCCCCCCGGCCGGCAGCCTGGTCTCTAAACTGTGTCTTACCACCGCAGCGTGTCTGCTGGCCAGTCAGCGCCCCGCCGATGCAATCCGCAAGCTTGACTCGCCCTTAAGAACCAAGAATCTCGGGGCGCCTGGGTGGCTCAGCCGGTGAAGCGTCTGCCTTCGGCTCAGGTCATGATCCCGGGTCCTGGGATCGAGCCCCGCGTCGGGCTCCCTGCTCGGCGGGGAGTCGGCTTCTCCCTCGGCCTCTCCCCCTGGCTTGTGCTTTCTCTCGCTCACTCTCCCTCTCTCTCTCAAAATAAATTAAAAAAAAAAAAAAAGAACCAATAATCTCCCCCAACAATCAAATTTTTACTCAAACTCTTTATACAATAATTTACTCTTTTATTACAAGTTTGTTTTTTCTGATTAAGTCATACATGCTTGTTTTGGAAAATGTAGAAATACAGAAACGTATAAAGAAAATTAGAATCTTCCATAATTCCACTGCCAACCGCAGCTAATCGCTCTGCACGTTCTACTCTCAAAACACTGAACCTTAGCTCATTGGAACTTCTCGAACCTAGCCAGAGGCGGTCTTTCTTCAAAGCCTTCCTGTCTTTTCCACAGAATAGAATACGGGAACATATAACGTATAAAAAACATTCTCAAACCAAACGAGGTTTCTTTACAAAGTAGTTTCCTATAAAATCTCCATTTTTTCAGATGCCTAGGAGTCTGAGACTCGAATACAGACCCTCGAGCATTTAGTAAAAGGAGAAGAGTAGAAAGGGCAAGGGGCTCATCTCCAGATGCCCCCCCGGCTCCTCATGCTGCTGGGGGCGGGGTGCCCGCCTTTCCTGCGAACTGGAGGTTTTTCAGTCTTAGGGGCTGGAGCGAGGCGGCGAGGGAGCCCCTGGGAGGGGATCTGGGGTGAGGAGAAGAGGAGGGAAAGTTGGCCTCCCCGTCACCGCAGAAAGGCACCGAGCACGAGGGGGCCACGGTCAACCAGCAGAGGGGAGAGACCGCGCCACCCAAGACGCACAGGAAGCAGGGGTTGGGGACCAGTCAGCAAGGGCCCTTCCACGCCCCCGTCCCTGCACCACTATCCCTCACCTCTTTCCGGGGGATCTCACCCAAGCGGGAGTCTGTGTTCCTTCTGGGGACATTATCCCCTCGGCTGTCCGTCCTGCCACACAAATGGAGGGATGAGGATGGGGAGCTGCCCCCCCACCCCACTCCCCAATCTGCCTCTTGGGAAGAAGAACAAACGAGACGGACCTGGGGATCAAACGGGAAGAGACACTGGCGGACTCACTAGTGAGTTATACTAGGAGGTCACAGTCCTAGATTCTGAGTTCTGAGCCGCAGGGTAAAGAGGAGAAAACTAAGGTAGGAGGACATGAAGACACGGAGGTGGTGTTTACAGGTGAGGAGATGGACACTAGAAAGGAAGAGACCAGAGAGAGGCGGGAGCAGCGAGGGGCAGAGGAAGAGGAGACCGTGGGCCCACCGCTCCCCGCGCTTTCGTCCCGGGGCAAGAACAACGGATGCTTCCCGGTGGATCCGTGAACCGCACCCAGCCCGCTCCTCCCTGCCTGAGTTGGGCTGCCCACGGGCCTGACCCCCTCCGTCCCCCCCATCCTCCCTGCCCTCCAGGCTGGTACCTGCCCTGTTCCTGCCTCTTCAGGTAGAGCAGCAGGTCCTCGGCAGGCAGCGCCCCCCAGCCCCGGGCCTGGTACAGTCGTAAGAGCTGAGACACGTCCATCAGCTGCCCTGCGGGAGCCGGCCCATCTCCACCTGAGAGGCGCGTCGGGAATGCCGGTCACCCTGGGGCCCCGGCGCCAGCTCGCCGGGAACCCAGAAGGGCCTTCAGTCCCAGGTCCCGGCTCCGCACCCAAGACCTCCCCTGTCTACGTTCCGGGAAGCCACGGCCCACGTACCCCTCTCTGGGGAGCCACTGCTGGGACCGCTGCTCTGGGAGTGGCTTGAGGGAGGCTCGTGCACCCGGAAAAGACTGGATGCCATGGCTAGGGGCACTTTGGTTTTATGAACGGGGGGTGGGAGGTGTGGCACGTGCGGGGCTGCTTCCTCCCATGACGGGCCAGCCAGCGGACCTGGCAAGAGGAAGGAGGTTCGAGAATCAGGAAACGGGGCAAGAGCCAAGGACACCCCACCACCCAGCCCTCGTTAGGCTTTATGATCTCTGCCAGCTCCCAGAGGTCCACTCCGGACAACCAGCTCCCACCTTCCCCACGCCCGGCCCCAGCCTTCTTCAGAGTTGGCCCTCACCAGGCTTCGGGGGCAACAGATCAACAGACAGGACCTCGCTGTTCTGGGGTACCGTCTCCAGCAGCTGTGGGGACAAGACAGTAAGGTGCCCAGAGGACCGATCAGGAAAGAGATCTGGGTCTGGGAGGGAGGCAGAGGCTGGGGAAGTTCCAGAAGGGGCTTACGAGACAGGAATCAGACAGACTGGGACAGAAGCTCCAGTCCTGAAAGGGGGTGCAGCCGCAGGAGGAGAAAATGAAGACGCGGAGAAGGAGGTGAGGTGGGACGGGTGGGCCCTCTCTTACCTGGTGCAAAAAATGCTTGAGGCCCTCGAGCTGGGAGGGGGCTGGCAGCCCCTGCTTGAGGAAGCTGTCCCCGTCGGGCCCAGGATCTTCCTCAGGGAACGGCCGCTCCGGCCTGTGGTCAGGGTGGAAGCCCCCGGCTGGGAAGTGAAACGGGGCCGCGTGTGTGTTGTAGGGGAGGGGAATCCTCCCCAAATCAACCCCCCAAATGCCAAGGGAAAGAGGCCTCTTAAATACAGCAGGGGCATCCCAGCTGGGAGAAGTTTACAGCAGCTGGAGAGAGAACGTACAGCTGAGTCCTGAGAAGTGTGGGCAAGAGGGGAAAGCTGTGCTACTGGGACTCTAGGCAAAGAAATCCCACCACAAACTCCCCAAAGAACAGAAACCAACGTTCAGAATGGCTTGGGATTAAGAGACATGTTCGGGCCCTCATTCTCTTTAACTATGACTACATGATTTTTACAATCAAAGTCGTGATGTAATCCGTCCCTCATTCTTCCCTGGACCTGGGCTGTGAGGTCCGCACCACCCAAGTCCCCGCTGACCGAGCCAGGAAACGCCCCTGCACCCGAGGAACGCTCACCGACCCATCAGAGCGCCTCTCCTTGACCCGGACACCAATGTCTCTCCCCGGTTGTCTAGACTATTGGCTGGAGCCAATGTCCCAGCTGGCCAAACCCATGTGCCAGCCGAGGTGAGGGCAGCAAGAACATGAGAGAGAGCGCTGTCTACCAGGGAAAGGAGCTGTGCAGGGAGGGGCGGTGGCAAGAGCCCGCACGGCCCCAAGGCCGGTTCTCATCACCCCAGTGACATCAGACTCCCATGAGCTCCCACTCCCTTTATTTGAAGGCTGCTCCTCGCACCTTCTGGTCACTGAGACGTCTGGGAAACGAACTGCTTGAGCCCCACACAGAGAGGAGGTTAAGAGGGAGCCCGCGAGCGCGTACGCGGGGAACCCCAGTGACGTGCGTCCCCGGTTACCGGAGGATGAGGTGAGGCCCGGCTTCGGCTCCAGGGGCTGGAAGGAGTGCTGGCTCTGGAAAGGGGGGCCCAGCAGGAGGCTGAGGTCTGGGGACGGGCTGCAGAGGACAGGTGGGGCTCCAAGCGCCTCATCCCCCGCTTCCCGGCTCTGCTGCAGTGCGGGCTTCAGGGCCACGGCCACGGGAGGCAGAGTCCACAGCCTCCGCTCCCCCTTCTCTGGCTCCTGAGGCCCAGGGCTGGAGGGCCTGGTGGTAGGAACCTGGGCACACGAGAGGCAGGAAGAGGATCACGCTCTGTGCACGTATAGACACGAGCCAGGACGCAGACGCCTCGATTCCAAGTTTAAGAGGACAAGTGAGTAGAAAGTCCTTAGGAGGGGATCTGGTAACATCTGTCACCTTCCATCCCATTTTACAATGCTTACTTGTGACCTCACAATTCCATCTCCAGAAGCTTTACAGATAGGCTTGCACGAGGACACATGTGAATGATATTTACGTCAGCTCTGCGCGTGGAAGCAGGATATAGAGGACGACTCTGATGTCCACGAATAAACACTGGGCCAAATGAGAAGTCACACGGCCACGCACGGGAGGCCACCCCTGGGGCCCAGAGCAAGCGGGGCAGGGGAGGACGGTGAGCACTTCCCACCACACACCTTTTCGAACTGTTTGGATTTCCTTTTTTACCACGTGCACGCTATTATCTTTTCCAAAAAAGATTTTAGCTTAAAATAAAAACTGAAGAGTCACGAGGAGGAAGTGGAAGATGCCACCAGAATAGGGCGAGGGGTGAGACTCCTCTAGGGCTGGGGGAGGAGAGCTGGGCCCCACGGCCAGGGCCGGCCTGGGTGAGCGGTGACCACGGCAGAGACTTCCCTCGATGAGGCGGTTCTGCTTCAAGGAAGCACACGGGGTTGCTCCCCCCTAACGCGGGTGCTAGGACTGACCTCGGGACCAGCCGCGTTCGAGGGCGATGCCTACCGGGGGGTTTGGAGGCAAGGTGGGGGCGCTGAGCAGCTGGTTGGCCTCCTCCCAGTGGGCGTGCAGCATGGCCTGGAGTCGCTCCACCAGCTCGGCCCGTTGCTCCTCCAGCTGCTGGCGGCCGCTCTGCAGGTCACGCACGCGCGCCTGCTCCCGGGCCAGTCTGGGGGGGAAGACGGCAGAGGGGAGGACGGCCTCTGAGGCAGCAGGCCTCCGTGACTATGCAAGGGGCCGGGGCCACTGCAGACGCGGACAGGCCCACAGGCCCGGGTTGGGCTCCACGCGCGGGAAACGGAGGGAGGCCTGAAAGGGCCGCCGCAGGGAGCCGCACCTGAGCTCATAGTCCTGAGCCACCTGCTGCTGCCTTTCCTCTCGCTCTGCCAGTTCCACCTTGAACTGAGCCAGCTGAGTGGACAGTTCCTGCTGGTGTTGTCCATTCAGGTCCTGCAGCTGCTTCCTAGGAGGACACGGGTGAGGAAGGAGGGCTGAGTCTGGAGACCAAAGTCCTCAAACAGGAAAGGGCCAGAAGGTGCGCCTGGCACAGCGAGAGCGCCTGGCCAAGGCACAGCGGGGTTCGGGGAGCAGGGAGGGGACAGAGCGGGTGTCTCGGGACCGGGTCCCCAGAGGCACAGACTGGGATAGTGGTTCACTGAAGAAGCATTTCCAGAAAACTACTGGTAGGGAAGAGGGGATGCGGGAAGTGGGCCTGGGAGGGGCAGGAGAGGGGCAGTTCTGCGCCGTCCCCATCAAGGCAAGGGCGCTGGGGACTTGGACCTGAGGGCAGCCAGGAGGGAGCCTGTGGGCTGGAGGGACCCGAGAGGATCCGGAAAGTGCCGGGTACCTGTGATGCTCCCGCAGGGAGGCCTCGTGCTGCAGGCTGCTCTCCTGGGCCTGCGCCAGGCGCTCGCTCACCCGCTGCTCCAGCTGCAGGGTCAGCTCCGACTGTAGCTGGATCCGCTGGCTCTCACACCGCGCCTGGGGGTGAAGGAGGGCGAGAGCTAACAGCTCCATCCGCGCCTGATTCCTGCCACAAGGACGGAAGGAGGCTCCTATGCGGGACTAGGTGCTTCACAGGCGCACGAAAGGAAAGGTCGCACTGAACCAAAGAAATATGTATTTAGCCAACAGCAGTGGTAGGTAGAAGGAGCCCATCTCTAGGACACGCAGCAGGCATCCCTGTCCCCTGCTCCTAAAGCAGGATGGGGCTGCATCCGGCCTCTTCTTTCGCACCTCACAGTCCTTCTGCAACTCACCGAAACCTGATTTCCCCTCACAGGCCTCCGCGACAAAGAGCTGAACTTCCAAATCCCACAGTGATTTCTCTTGTCTTCTGAGGTGCCCCCTGCAACACCTGCCACCGGCGTGAATCTCCTCCGGAAAGCGCGCCTCCCTCACCCCTGCCTCGCCGCCGCCAGCCCCATGACCTCGCGCCCCCTGCTCCCCGGCCCCAGCCCACCACTCTTCCTCCAGGCGCCCGGAGGGGCAGAATGCTTTCTCGAATTCTGTCCTCATTCTTCTCTCTGACCCCGTACTAACTAACATTCCGGGTCACGGGTGCTTTTGACACGTGTTTAATAAACATGGAGCATTGGGGCGCCTGGGTGGCTCAGTCGTTAAGTGTCTGCCTTCGGCTCAGGTCATGATCCCAGGACCCTGGGATCGAGTCCCACATCGGGCTCCCTGCTCCGCAGGAAGCCTGCTTCTCCCTCTGCCACTCCCCCTGCTTGTGTTCCCTGTCTCGCTGTGTCTCTCTCTGTCAAATAAATAAATAAAATCCTTAAAAAATAAAATAAATAAAACAAACATGGAGCATTTAGGCTATGTTTTTTCTTACCATTTATACCTTAAAGCACTTTCTAAGTTTCTCTCTTTAGCTGGACTTTAAGCCCACACACCCAGAAGCCTCCTGAGTAAGTGTACTTGGCTACACCTCAAATAAAACACATTCAAAATTGAGCTCATTTGGTGTTTTACGCTCGAACCTCTCCTGTTCTATTTCTTGCCTTAGTTAATGGCACTGCTCTCCACTGGAACACCCACACTCTCTGAAACCCAGAGTCATCCCTGACTCCTGCTTCCTTCCACCTTCCTTAGGGTCCTTCCTTCTACTTCCTTAACACCTCCTGAATTTACTCCTCCACTCACGACTACGGTAATCCAGTATTATCTCACGTCTACTTGATCTCCTGGCCTCTATTCTACCCGCCACCCTCCTTCACGTTGGCCCCAGTAGATCCTCCGCTTTGTGCCTGAGTGAATATTCTAAAATACAAATGTGCTCAATTTTTGCCCTTGTTCGGAACCGTCTGAATGCCCCCATTGCCTGAAGAATGAAGTTCTGGCTGCTTGAAAGGGCTTACATGGCTACGCACCCACCCCCTCTCTCCCATCATACTAAACCCTTCGTCATTACACCAACGCTTTTTTTTTTAATTTTTAAAAACTGAGGTAAAAGAGACCACATAATATAAAATTTACCTTCTTAACCACTTTTAAGAGTACAGTTGAGTAGTTGTTAACCCTATTCACATTACTGTGCAGGTCTCTAGGACTTTTCATCTTATAAAATTAAAACTCTATACCCACCGAACAGTCGCTCCCCATTTCCTCCCACTCCGGCCCCATTCTAACTTCTGCTTCCTGATACTGACTACTCTAGATAGCTCATTACTTAAATTCTTCCAAGGGAAGAGTTAATATATACTCCCTCTGAGCTGGCGACAGCACTTTAAGGAATCTATCCTACAGATTTATGTATAATGATGCTCACTGCAGCACTTTTTTTTTTTTTTTAAGATTTTATTTATCTATTTGAGAGAGAGAGAATGAGAGACAGAGAGCACGAGAGGGAAGAAGGTCAGAGGGAGAAGCAGACTCCCTGCTGAGCAGGGAGCCCGATGCAGGGCTCGATCCAGGGACTCCAGGATCATGTCCTGAGCCGAAGGCAGTCGCTTAACCGACTGAGCCACCCAGGCGCCCGCAGCACTACTTTCAATAGTGAAAAAAATTGGTGTCGGTGCACATTGCTCATCAGAAGGAAAATGCTTAAGAAAACTACGATTCACCCATTCACTGCGACATTATACAATTCTTCAAAATCACAACGTACATCTATCTCCATGTAGTGGGAATACGGGACGTGGAAAGATATTTATATTAAGAGGTAACAGTGACAAGTTGCAACAAGTGTGTATGTTTTTTTTAAAGCAGCAACCCACGAGGGCACCTGGGTGGCTCAGTCGGTTGAGTGTCCGACTCTTGGTTTCACCTCAGGTCATGATCTCAGGGTCCTGGGATCGAGTCCCATGACTGGCTCCATGCTCAGCCAGGAGTCTGCTTGAGATTCTCTCTTCCTCTGCCTTTCCCACCCCCGCCCCACTGGCTCATTCACCCTCTCTCTCAAGTAAATACATCTTAAATAATAAAGCAGGAACCCACAAACTCAAATGAAAAGATCCTGAAAGGGCATACACAAAGTGGTGTGGTAAGGAAAGGTAACCAAGGCTTTCTACTTCTGTATTATTCAAACCTGCCTTACAGATAACTTTTATAAATCTTAAAAGTATTTTTAAAACTTCTTTGGGAACCACCCAACCATGTTGATGTTGGCTCCCTTCTTTATCCATGATAATTACCTCCAATAAATTCACTTTGATTGAAATATGCATGTTATAATTTCTGAAGTAACCCCTAAACAAACAGAAACTTTAAAACTAGCTGGCTTTAAAACTGGCTGACAAAAGAAAATGAGAAAAAAGTAATGAATCTAAAAGATGACAAGAAAGGAGAGAAAAATAAAGATTAAGGAGGTAAGACAAAATAAAATCTAAAGCTGAAACATAGATCCAACCATAAATAAATACACTGAATATAAAAGAATTTGATGCTCCAATTAAGAGACAAATATATAAAGGCTGAAAGTAAAGATTACAAAAATATTTGCCAGGCAAGCTCTACTTTAAGGAAAAAGCTTAAAAGAATATTTTTAAAAAGGCTGGTATAAGTCTAGTAACATTATATTATTAAGCAAAAATAGATTCTAAGGTAAAAAGCCTGAAGAGATAAAGAGAGTCAATTCATATGGATAAAACATCCAATTTACCAGGAAAGATGTAGCAATTTTAAAATTTATATGCTTTTAACAATGGCCTTAAAATGTGTAAAGCAAAAACTGACAGACTACAGGAAAAATAGAAAAATCCACAGTCAGTGAGATTTTAACAGAAAAAAAATCATTAAGGAAACAATGATTTAAATAGCACAATTACCAAACTAGACACACATACAAATAGACGCATATAAAACACTTCACCCAACAACTATAAGATACATATTTTCAAGCACACATGAGACACGTAGAAAAATGGACCATATATTAGAACAGATAATAAGTATCAAAAAATTTCAAAGAATTTAAGTAACAAAAATACTATATTCTCTCATGTCTACCAGAAACTCTCCAGTGATGGGGCCAGGGACAGGGAGAGAGGGACAGGGAGGTCCAGCCCAACAGACAAACGTTGCAAAATGTCAGCTGGTGAATCCAAGCATCATTCATTACACTATTCATGCAACACTCTGTTAAGACAGAAATATTTCAAAACAAAAAGTTGTGTGGAAAACACATAAGCAATTTTTTTAAAAGACCATGCTCTCTAATTACAAAATTAAGCTGTAAATCAATAATAAAAACAGAAGTAGAGGGGTGCATGGATGGCTCAGTCAGTGAAGCATCTGCCTTCAGTTCAGGTCATGATCCCAGGGTCCTGTGATCAAGCCCCGCATCAGGCTCCCTGCTCAGCGGGAGTCGGCTTCTCTCTCTGCCCCTCCTCCGGCTTTCTCTCTCTCTCTCTCACTCTCTTAAATCTCTAAAATCTCTTCTAAGATCTAAAATCTTAAAAAAATAATAAGTAGAGGGGCACCTGGGTGGCTCAGTTGGTTAAGCAGCTGACTCTTGATTTTGGCTCAGGTCATAGTCTCAGGGTCATTTCAAACTAAACTAATTAAATAACCAAACACACACATACATACATACATACATACATATGAGAGATTTTTCCACCAAGAAAAAGATCTCACATGGGAGGTCTGAGTTCAAAGAAAGTTAGAACAACAGAGAAAATAGTAAAATATGTGGATACCTCTAAATGAATATTGGCTTTACAGAACAACATTAATAATGTCTTATGGTGGTTTTTTATTTAAAACAGAATTTACAAACAGTGATCTCATGGAAAATGGCAGGATAGAAAACTGCAGGGGTTAGTCCTTCTGCCAAAACATCCATTGAGATGTGGAAAAAATATCAAAACCCACTATTTGGGAACTCTGGAACCTGATCAGATACTTAAACGAGCAGGAGAGTGCCTGATGAAGGCAGAGGCTGCTGGGCTTTGGTACAAGAGCTGGGGATGTGAGCCTGCTTCCATCCCCCAGCCCTTGGCCCTCTGCAGCCACAGGAATGGTAGCCCGGGAAACTAGAGGGACTGGCTGAAGTGAGCGTGGTAGGTAAGGACCTTATCCTCCAAAAACGTGGGATTGGGTGTTTTGGACAGTTTGGCAATTCCCTGAGGAACCAGAGCAAACAACCACCTTTGTTTTGGGCCCCTGCAGAGGCTTCCCTGGTAGCATCAATCATAAGATTTAAAGAGACATATATACTCATTTGAGAGAAGAATTCAGACATTTAAGAAAATCTCTGTCAACTCACAGGCTAATCACAGAGGTAACAAAACAGAAATGTCAGTCACCACACACAACAAGAAATAGAGACTTTGCAAAAACAGTTTGAAAAAGTCACTATACAAATGGATGGCTGCAGGCATCAAAAAAAAAAA